AAAGACCAGTGTGATTTGCCTCAAAATAATTACATATATTTTAAAAACTACTTTTTTATACACTTGTATCTGAGCCAGTGTCACAGTGTGGGTAACCATCAACTGCTGGATACTTAAACTTCAAATCATCTCTCCTTCGATGAGATTTGTAGCTGTGACCTGACTCTCCTTTGTCAACGCCACACGCACCACGGTGAACTATTGAAACTCTCGCCGTTGCTGTAACCGTGGTCACATGACGTGCAAGCGAAGGCGAAGAGTGCAGCGATGATGAAGATGAGGAACTCACTTGCTGCGGTAATGTCGGTTGATGTGGATGCTGATGTGGATGTGGATGCAATTTTGTATCTTTTCTCCGTGACCTCCGTGACATTCGTTTTGCCTGAAAAGATGAAGAGGTTTCAGAATGTAATAAAACAGTGTCATATTGTAATAAATCAGCTACTTAAAAATGTGAATACAGTAATACAGAAAATACATGCAGACATCAAGCTGCCTTACCTTTTCTCTTGGCGGTGTGTGACATGTCAATGTCTCTACCACAAACTCTGGCGGATGAATCTGAATATGGTCATTTGGAGCATATCCATGTCTAAAACCTTCACTGGCACCAGACGACGTCCGCGACATGTCTGACCCCGAATCACCATTTCGACGTATTGAGTGCATAACTAGACCATGGTCCAATGGCGGTGTGGGTTCTGGCGTTGGCATATCCAGTCGGTCTGCATTATTGTTTGGTACAACCTGTAAAAAGACAAGAAAAAGTACATTATTACTTAATAATCAGTAGTCCTTTATTTCCATAAAACATAGTCAGTACTACAGAGTAGTAACAGTCAATGAATTATGTCCACAGATGCAATGTCATACAGAACACAAGCAATTGTGGTTCTCTTTCAAAACTGATAAGCTTGTGGAGCTAATAATCAGCAAATATAAGGTATTTAATTTTTCTTTGGCAGCCATCAAAAATGCCTCTTAAAAACTCCAAATTTAAATTAAATGATAATTTTTTAATAAGATGAAAACCTTACCTCTGCAGGGGGTCCCACAAGTGAAAGTAGAACTGGTAGAAGCACTAGGCCATTCAGTAAACCAATGATAATTAAAATAGTAAATACATAGAAAAAATATCTGTAACACAAGAACAAAAAAAATAATTATTGTCTTGTTATAAAAGTTTTGAACATAATAATATTTATATTTTAATTCAAAGATGCCATGATATAGTACGAATGGTTCTTTGGGAACAAGGTTTACTGTACACAAGTTTAATTGCACAGCGGACTACAGGTAACTTTGTACAGGTTATTCATATGCAAATTAACAGGATAAACAAGTGTTAGCAAGAATAGTCTATTTAAGGACATAACTGAAAATCACAGAGCAACTATTATCAGAAGCTGTGAAGTTCTTGTCAGAAATAATAAAACTATTTTGAATAATTAAGTTCAAAACATAACATTTATTAACAGTCCTAAACAAAGTCAAGTGACAGCGGTATTTAAATTAGGTGACACCCAAAGACAGCTCAATTACCGAGATTATACTGGGCGGCGAGAACCCTAACACTTTACGTTCATCGGTATTTGGCGAACACTTTGGAAAACATTACCAGTAAACAAGGCCAATAATCAACACTAGCGTATATTACAGAACTGAACAAAAGGGCCAGAAACTGAAGCTTCTTGTGTCGCATTCAGTTGACCCACTATTTCATTTATAGCATGGAAACTTAATAACCACCCAGATACAGCATTTTTTTTTACTTGAAAACCTGTAGTTTTAATTTAGTTGTATGTGCTGCTCTCAGCCACAATAAACACCTAACCATTGCTATGTTTTCCCAGACACTTTGGAACATAAAGCACAAGTGTGGCAGGCTATTCCACAGTGCAGGGTTCATTAGCGTACTCGCGTAAATTCAAATTTTATTTGTTTAGCTAAACTCAATGCTCAGGTATATGCATGAACACCACATTTGAAATATACAAATAGAGACTGACAAGTTAACAGCTTTTTTAGGCTAGACCCAGGCCCTGATTTTCATAGTAGCTACAATGCTTTATTAGGTAACATTTTAGAAAAGACTAGAGAAGGGTATCAAATTTGTTTTTGTCTGACATGCCTTTGTTATTGTTTGGATCTAAATGAGGTGCTGAGATACTGCATAGGTAATACCAGGGACTATGACGAGAGATTTTAAAGTAGCATTAAGTCATCGACTTTATGATTATATACAATGTCGAAAGTTTAAAATTCATATATAGCTATTTCTAGAAATAAACATAAGAGAAGAAAATAGAAATGAACTACAGAACATAGTAATTGGTAGTCTACGCTAGAGTCTCGGCAGTCTACGCTAGGGTTTCGGTAGTCTACGCTAGAGTCTCGGCAGTCTACGCTAGGGTTTCGGTAGTCTACGCTAGGGTTTCGGTAGTCTACGCTAGGGTTTCGGTAGTCTACGCTAGGGTTTCGGTAGTCTACGCTAGGGTCTCGACAGTCTACGCTAGGGTCTCGACAGTCTATGCTATGATTTCGGATTTCTATGCTATGATCTCAGGTAGTATCTTCATATAGAACATTAGCCAGAGGCTTTCTACATAACATGCATGGATGAACAGTGATAAAGTGCAGTGGACCTCCTAAAGGTCAACAATTACAGAATACTTTTATAGAACCCACCCTCTATAACGACAACTTTATGCGTAACTATGAGTACAGACCTACCCGGTATGAGTAACTACGAGTACAGACCCATCCGGTATGAGTAACTACAAGTACAGACCCATCCGGTATGAGTAACTACGAGTACAGACCCATCCGGTATGAGTAACTACGAGTACAGACCCATTCGGTATGAGTAACTACGAGTACAGACCCATCCGGTATGAGTAACTACGAGTACAGACCCATCCGGTATGAGTAACTACGAGTACAGACCCATCCGGTATGAGTAACTACGAGTACAGACCCATCCGGTATGAGTAACTACGAGTACAGACCCATCCGGTATGAGTAACTACGAGTACAGACCCATCCGGTATGAGTAACTATGAGTGCAGACCCATCCGGTATGAGTAACTATGAGTACAGACCCATCCGGTATGAGTAACTATGAGTACAGACCCATCCGGTATGAGTAACTATGAGTACAGACCCATCCGGTACGAGTAACTATGAGTACAGACCCACTCTCTAAGTGTCTACAGACCCTTTTTTCTACCCTTAGATTGACACAAATAAATGTACAAGAAATCATGCACTGCAGCCAAATGAATGATAAGTTTTCGACCACACAGACCAAACAATTTCTTTCTTTATCTATCCCAATAACATTTTTCACAACTTTGTAACAGAATTAGTTACAAAAACAGATACATTTTTGCTATTATCATAATCAGCTGTACTGGTGGTAATATACAAAAACCAGCATGTTATGACTTACTAAGATAACCACACCACAAGGGGGGCTTGAGTTACAGATAACCTGTATGATACTGACAACCCTCTCCCAAATTAATTGAAGCATGACATTTTCATAGTTTTTAAATTCATGATGCTGCACTGTTTATTTTAATTGAAAATGTGCAACACTGGTCTCAATAGATGGGAAACCACTAACTAGATAATTAACGGAATTAAGAGACAAAGTTGAAATAATAGACATTTATATTTCTGAGGAAAATCTTTTTTTTGTTCTGATTATACAGTACACTAAAGAAAAGGAGAAACTTTGAAGGCCACCCAGACAAATGAAAAAGACATAAATACCAATTATGGAAAAACACAAAATAGATAATTACCTGACTATAAACTCAAATTCAGCACCAGACAGCATGATAACACCCAGTAATGTGGAAATAGCGCCATCTACCACTGGAGCAAACATGTGTTCCAGTGCCATACACATACGCCGGTTTCTATCACCAATAGAACTCATGAAACTCTACAGAAAATATTCACAATATGATTAATTAATTAAGTAACTTGAAAATCTCAATTAGCACAAATTAACAGAAGATTTATTTTATTTAATATCAGTATTTGTCATTATTTGCATAAAATAGTATCAACATATAAAACAAAATCATTTTGATTTGTTATGATTGTCTTTAATTAAATTAAATAAAATAAAATAAAATAAATGAACTCACCAAAAGTATGTGTAAAGTAAACTCCACACTTGCGCCAACTGAGAAAATAAGAGTCACTGCAGGAATAGCACTCATCTTGAGTCCAATAATACCCATAAAACCAAACAATTCAACTAGCATCATGGCCAGAACACACACCTAAATTGAATCATAGGTCAACATTTTTGAGAAAAGCAACAAAAAAATGCCAGCAACAAACCTAATTAAAAGGTTATTTCCTATCTGTTAAAAACCTTTAACAGAAATATTTGCAACGTAGTCTGAGACTCAATAACTGGTTGAGAATTGTCACAAAACAAACTAAAACACCAAATTCTTTCACCGTCTAAACAACCACAAACCTAATTACAGTTTACCAAACGTTAAATAGGATTATTTACGCATATTTTGCTAATAAAACATGCAGGCCATGAATTATACAAAGTAGGCATAATAATAGGAGGGTTGGGGTGATTATAATGAGGAAAGGGAGGAGAATGACCCATTTCTGTCTAAAGTTGTTGCCTTTTCTTTAGTATTACAATGACAAGCCATTGAAGAGTATTTAAGTGTAACAGCAGTCCTTTCACTACCAATGCAAAAATGTCACATTCATACCTAATAGTCGATAAGTTTCTTATATTGGGTGAGCTATCCCGACGGGATTCCACAAATCTGTTACTCAGTACGTGTCATGGACGATTGACAGCTGTCAAAAGAAGTGACCACTGAAGACAAGTAGGCGACAGACAGTGACAAGGGATGGGTTTTATTCACGTCACTACACCACAACAGTGGAATCTGCGAACAGATTATTGAGCGAAAAATTGCTTAAATGGGTTGCAAGTATACAAGCCATTCCAGCAGTGCCACCCGACACGGAATTGTGCAATACGCCATTGAAATTCTTGCTGTGAAACTTTCATCGCTATGGTGATGATCCTTTTGTTGTGTTTTTGTCCTTGTCCATTTCACACATG